GTGCTAGACACCGGGCTGTCTGGCATCGAGTGCGGTGTGAGTCGAGTCCCGGGGCCAGGCCCTTCTCAGTCTTCCCGTGCAGGAAAGGCAGCGATGAGAGCCCGCCTCCTGGGGTTATGGGGGAGAGGCAAACCCAGACAAAAGGCTTGCACACGCACCCCATGCCGCCCTCAGCGCCATGGTCACACCCCACTGCTGGGTCACCATGATTCCAGCAGCTGCAGACTAGATGAGAGCACGCTCTTCAAAAGGCCCTACAGGCTTCTGGCGAGCAGGGGCTTCCGCTTGAGAAAAGGGTGATCCGTGTCTTTTGTGTTCATTACAGATTTATAAAACACGATCTCCTCACTTTGAATTCTGTTGTAGGCTTTTTGTAAACATCATAGTACAATGTCAAATTGAGCACTCGTTTACAGACCCGGAGTTTCTCTGGGCGGCCCTGGCAGCTGCCTGGACACCTACAGGGCCCCGGGCATTGGACTTGACGTTGGGCGACAACAGTGACTCTCCTATCTTCCTTCTGGGGACTGTGCCCCTGCCCCAGAAGTGCATGAATCTTTTCTGTTTCCGGGCTCAGCTCACCTTTTGAGATTCTGCTCCTTTCCCACGTTCCTGCGCTGAGTCATTGTTCCGGCTCCGGTCTTGACTTGCCCCCCACTGAGCTGAAGAACTATGATCTGGTTAAGCCTTCTTTCTGTATTGCAAAGGCCCCAGAGGTTAGATAATTACACAGAGCCGGAGTCTGTCTCCAGGTATCCTGGCCGAGAGGAACAAATTGTATTGGCAGAGTTTGCCGAGAAGGTAAACTATGTTAGAGAATTCTATTTCCTGTTTGCTTCGACAGGAAATCAGAGAGCGTGTTTGGCCAGAAAAATGGTGATGTAGTTAAAGGGAACTGATGAATGTGTAATTTTTTTATTATATCAAACAAATACCTGTCTCGTTATATTGAAATGTTAACAGTGATCCTCAAGGTATCAGTTAAAAAATTGTTCTACCCAAATAATAAATCCCTGGGCTACAGAAAGTGAAAGAAACCTAGCATAGCCTAGCATGGCCTAGCATAGTCTTACATGATTTAGCATGATCTAACATGATCTAGCATGGTCTAACATGGCTTACCATGATCTAGCATGGTCTAACATGCCCTAGCATAATATAACATAGCCTAGCATGGTCCAGCATAATCTAGCATAATCTAACATGACCTAGCATGGCCTAATATGATCTAGCATGGCCTAGCATGGTCTAGCATAATCTTTTAAAATGTTAGTACAACCTAGCATGATCTAACCTGACCTAGCATGGTCTAATATGATCCATCATGACCTAGCATGGCCTAGCATGATCTAACATAATCTAGCATGACCTATCATGGCCTAGCATGATCTGACATGATCTAGCATGGCCTAGTGTGACCTAGCATGATATAACATGGCCTACCATGACCTAGCATGACTCGGCATGATCTAGCACAGTCTGACATGGCCTAGAATGGTTCAGCACTGGCAGATGCCCAGCACGGCCCCAGGTCCACTAGCATCTGGATGACCATCTGTCCGATGTGACCCCAGCAGATACCCTACCCTGTTGCCCTTCCCGTTCCCACCCCTTATGTGGCCCTCGCTTCCCTGGCCCATAGTCACATGTCGAATCCTCCCCGTTATTGAAAGACACCCTTTTCCAGGAAAGACCCTGTGTCCCCCAGCCAGAAATGACTTCTCATAGCCCTTTGAACCCGTCCTCCCATTACACACTCTATCATGATTACTGCAATTTCTCTCTCTTGTTACACGTGTTGCTGCATTTTGTGTCCACCCACCCCTCAGTGCCAAGCCTAGGGCCTGGGGGATACTCAGGAAAATGTCAGCACATTACACTGTGGCGACAACCAGTCACCTAGTCCTAGCGGCTTAATCACCAGCGGCCATTTCTCTCTCACGTTCCCTGTTCTCCTCAGCCAACTGTGTCTCTCCTGCTCCCTGTCATCTTCTCCCCAGGACACAGACTGAGGAGTCAGCCCCCGCAGGGGAACTGCTGCTCAGGTGGTAGTGGGGAAAGGGGAGATAGAAGGCCAGGGACCTTCTGGAAGCTTCTGCTGGAAGGTGGCCTGGGTCACTCCTGCCCACATGTCCCTACTGCTCCCCTGTCATTGACTACACTGGGGTCAGAAGGGGAGACATGTGGTCCCTTCGGGAGGGAGATATCACAGGCCGCAGCACCCTTCCTCAGAGGCAGTGGGTAGTTTGAATGGGTGCGTGAGTCTGCACAATTAATTCCTGCAGGATAGAACCCTTCCCTGCCTCTCTCAAGCAGGCAACCACTGTCATCTCTTTTTCTCCATGGTGAGAGCACAGGGCGGGGCCTGTCCAGGGGCCGGACCTCATAGCGGAAGCTCTTAAATGCTGACAAGGGAGGGTCTACAGCTCAGGCCTAAGGAGCGACCAGGTCCACTCAGGACCTGGTGGGCACAGAATTAGGTGGCCGTGAGCCAGTGCTCTCCTCTCACCAGCAAGTTAAGACTGAGCCGGGCACAGCCACGTGGTTGTGGCAGCTGCTGGCTGGCCACTCTGGGGCAGCACGTTGGCCCAGTGGTCGTGTGAGGTGGACAGAGCGCTGCCCTTCCTGCTCTGGGGAGCTTGCATGCAGGGCCTCCCTATGCAGTCACCCAGAACCCCAGAAGATTCCAGAACTCTTCGGGTGCAGGAGCCTGTAAGGGTCCCGAAGTTCCTCCGTTGCTTCCTCTGTGAGCTCACTCTTTCTGTGGCCTCTGTGGCCAGGGTAGCAGGGCCCACCCCTTCCCCCAGAGGCCCAGCTCCCAGCAGCCTGGGGGGATCGTCAGCCCTGACGCGAGGTGTCCCCTTGGCAAGCCAGCTCTCGGGGCTGCTTGTGGGCAGTCTGTGTCTCAGCATGTCCTAGAGACTGCTGTGAGAAAATGCTGTTTAGCCCTGATTTCATGCATGTTAAAAAAGCATCTAGGTCTGATTTCTGTGTTTACCGTACAGCACAGGCGCAAATTGGGGAGAAGGAAGGCAAGGGCTCACCGGGAGTTCCATCCGTGCCTCCCCATCTCCCCGCACACCCACAACGACCAACAAGCCCTGTATCTGGGGTTGTAAATAGCAGAGCCTCCCTAGGTCGGGTCGTCCTGCCAGCACAGAGACTCAAATGCTTTCGGGAGCCAAGGAAATAATGCCTCAAAACTGACATGCTCCACTGTGTGTTTACACGCATTTCTCTCTTCCCTGCTTATGTCGTCATCAAAAAAGTCCTTGTTCCCCGCAGCATTTTTATGGCACAAAAGCTCTGGGCTGCGGGAGAGCTGGTGGGCATATCAGAGCAGCTCAGCTTGGGGACAGCAGTGCATGCAGCTTGGCTGCCCTGAACAAGACAGTGGGTGGGTTTTGGCCAGCATGTGACGACCCCAGCCAAGATGCACATGGCCCTTGAGTTCTGGGAGCCTCCTCGAGCCCCGTTTCTGTGGACCTCCACGTCCAGAGAACATTTGAAAGCCCGGGCTTTGGGAAGGAGACCCCAGGGTGGGGGCAGGGGGGCCACACACAGAAGGTTCTAACCCACTGCCAGGGTAATGGCCGTGCTCAATTTTGCCTTTCACGTTTTAATTGTACAACAGTAATTTTGCGATAGAGTTGCCGATGGCAAACATGCAAAAGACATTAACTTTATTTATGTTTTGGATTATTAATGTGGCTGTTAAAATTCCTCCAGTTAGTTTTGATTGAATTGTTTTTTTGTGTGATTCTGTTGTTTAATGGAGCGGTAAATAAGAATTTCTGATAATGAGGTCGAGCATCTGTCACAACAACCTGGTGTGGGTTATTAACATTTCCATTAACGGCAGGGTGGGCAGCGATAATTCGGGAGCCGCACAGTTAGAACAAAATAAATAGTCAGTGTCAGGCTGAGTGGGTGTTAATTACTATTTTATTCTACATGGGGGTGGGGGGAACGGGGTGACTCTCGAAGGTCATTCTCTCCCGAGAGCATGTGTGTGGGGCCATCGCCCTCGGACAGCAGCTGTTGTGTCGTCTCTGGAAATATTCCTGGGCCCACAGGTCGAGGCCCCCAGACAGTTCCTGGGGCCCCAGGGTCCAGCCCAGCACAGATCCGCTGGGGCAGTGCACTGGCAGGCAGGACAAGGGAGTAGCTCCCGGGGGGGCAGAGAGTGGCCCATCGCGCAAGGAATTCAGAAACGGCGCAGAGCTCATGGATGCAAAGGAGACAGGCTCTGCATGTACGCATGTGCTCTCTGCACTCTCCCAGCTTCCCAGGGGCCGACGGCCTCAGTGTCCTCCCCACCTCACCAGGCACAGTGTGGCCCTCGGGGCAGGAGGACCAGATCCTCAGTGTTGGAGCCTTAAGGGCCCTCGGAGCAGGGGCACTGGGAGCAGGCAGTCTGTGCTCCTGACCCCATTAGGGGGCAGCCTTGATTCTGCAGCCCCAGGGAACAGGGCCCCACAGCATAAGATTTCTGGGATGGGCGCACGGATGCCTTAGTCTCTCCATGTTCCATCCAAAACGCAGTGCCTCTCTCCACTGCTAACGTAGCGACACAGCCCCGAGGCCTGCAGGACCTGCCGCTCATTCAGGAATAGGCCCCCAAACGCCCCCTGTCGAGCCCCGGTTAGTGCTAAAACCACAGATCCTCCCGCACGCGTCACACCTTGATGTCCCAGCAGCCCTTAGCCCAGCCTGGCATCACCACCCCGCGTCCCACTCCCGAGGCATGCAGATGAGCAGATCAGACCCTTGTTTATGAACACTCTGCGAACTGTGTCTCAGTAGAATCCGTTTCCTCTGTAATCGTCCAGACTGTATTTTATGCATCTCTAAACGTGATTCTGGGAGCATTTCGCAGGGTTCCCTGGCTTAAAAGCTGGACGGCCTGGGCAGGCTCTCAGGCAGCCCCCTCTGCACTTAGGGGCCCTGCACATGGCAGCAGATGCCTCAGCTTCTGTCCTGTGCTGTTCTCTCCTTAGCCCCGGCCATGGCTCCGCAGAATATCCAGGTGACCCCGCTCACGGCCAGCCAGCTGGAGGTCTCATGGGACCCACCGCCACCGGAAAGCCAGAATGGAAACATCCAGGGCTACAAGGCAATGCTCTCTCGCGTGGTTTGACTCTTCCTTCCAGGTCACTCGTAGGCCAGGATAAGTGGCCTCAATCCCCAGAGTTCCGGAGTGCTTTGCTGGAACCCCGGCCACACTCCGTGTCTTTCCAGCAGACAATCAGCTGACGTCCGCCCAGAAGGCCACAGGCGATCCTGAGCAGCTGGAACAGGCTTAGCCTGACCTTGCCTTTTGGGCTCGGGGGTGGGGGTCCGGTGCCCTGCACAGCTGGCTTGTGCCCAGCAGCCCCTCCCTCCCAGGCCCAGCCAGGAGCCCTTCCAGGGAGGGTGGGAGCCCTTCCAGGTGGGAACCCACCCACTCTGGGAGCCTCCAATATCTCTGCTAAGAGTAAAACGGAGCAGCCTAAAGAAGAGCAGGTTTTCCAGCCCAGCTCTGCCCTTGGGTTTCTATTGGATATTTCATGAGGTCTGGTGGGGGAGTCCAAGAAGTTGCATTTCTCACACGTTCCCTGGGGGTTCCTAGGAAGCCCACTTTGAGAACCACCACACTCGACTCAGGATTCCACATTAGCTAAACATTTTGGACATGGGGCAAAAGAAAGGCAGCAGGCCGATGGGTGATAACACAGAGCAGGTTCATCCAGCGGGCAGGAAGCCCCCCACGCCTGTCTGCAAGGCCACATCTTGTGCAGAGAACTCAGAAGAACCAGCTAGAGCGTCCCCAAAGAAAGCAGCTCCGGGCTGTCCCCGGCAAACCCCCCAGCGCCTCCCCTCTGCCGGCCCAGCTCAGTCAGTCATCGGTTTCTGTGGGCCAGCCTGCCCTGACGACTATTGGGCCAATTAAATGTCCATTTAAAAATGATTTTTGTCAGTGTTTGATGAAAATAAATACCTTCCTCCACGGCAGGGCTGTTACAGTGATGAATGAGGTAATGTGAAGTCCTGTGAGCTTGGAGGCAAGATGCTATTTATGTATGTCCAAAATATGTTTTCTAATTTCCTTAATGATAAAGACATTGAACTTGGGTATTGATCTCAAGTTAGTAAGGCCTGACCGAGTGCAGGATCGGATGTGCACAGTTGGGAGAGTAGAGGCTGGCCCCCACCGGGCCGAGTCGGCAGTGCCCGCGGTCAGGGTGCGCGCCCACGCGGGAGGCACTCCCCGGCTCTGCAGCCGGCTGCCTTGTGGGCCAGCGGCTCTAAGGGCCTGGCTGGGTTTCAGCCCACAGAGCCAAGGTGGATCCACGAATGGGTGTTGTTTTTGGGCAGCCGGGCTGGCACTGGCACAGGGCGGCGGTCCTCGGCCAGTTGTCCAGGGAAGCGATCCTGGACACCTCGTCCAGCCATTGTACTCGGGCATCTACTCGCCCAGGAGCACATATGAGCTAGGGGAGGGGAAATACATCTGGGAGAAGCACGGGGCCTTCCCCACAGTGCTGAGCCCAACCTGGTTTCTCCCCTGGCTATTTTTCGTGCCACGCGGATTGAAGACTCACGTGTCGGCCTGCCGTGGGAGCACAGGGCTGAGGCTCGGGTTGTCTGCACAGGCTGGAGCAGAGACAGATACGGTCAGTCTCCTCCTGTCCAGAAGACTGAGGAATGGGGCAGAGGCCATAAACAAAAGCACCCAGCTCTGGAAGGGGGAAGGCATTCACGGGGTACTGGAGGAAAGTGCCACTTCCGTGATCAGTTAGGCAAAGCTCCAAATCTGGAAGGACAACTCAGAAACACAAATTACTGGCTTCCCAAACTGTAGTAGCAGCTGAGGAACCCCTGCCTGACCCTGGCTCAGACCTCCCTCTCCCCTGCTCTCTGCCTTCCCAGCCACAGTGTGCACCCCCCCTCCCGCCAGGGGCTTTGGGCTCAGGCCCACAGTCCTGCCTACTGGGCCTGCCTCTTCCCCCACGAGCTCCAAAACGGGGCTGCCACCCCATGCCCACGGCCTGCCTCCAACCTTTGGCTCTTTCCAACAGGTTTACTACTGGGAGGCAGACAGCCAGAATGAAACAGAGAAGATGAAGGTCCTGTTCCTGCCGGAGACGGTGCTGAAGCTAAAGAACTTGACCAGCCACACCCAGTACCTGGTCAGCATCTCCGCCTTCAACGCGGCGGGAGACGGGCCGCAGAGCGACCCCCGGCGGGGGCGCACCCATCAGGCCGGTAGGAGCACAATGTGTTGCCTTCCCCCGGGGTTCCACTGGGCGCCCCTTCTCCCCCAAACCTACGGTTGCCCCCGAACCCCGCTGAAACAGCGGGCCCCACTCTCTGTCCCCACCGTGCTCTGCTCTGCCTGACCTGTAACACGCAGCTGTGTGTTGGGCGCTTTCTGGAGAGGCAGGCCTGGGCTCAGCTCATCTCCTTCCCCCAGGGCCTGGCCTCCGCCTGCTGTGTGGCGGCCTCCGGTACCCATGAGAGGGCTTCGAGTGCTGCGTGTTCTCCCTGGGACCCTCTAGGATCGCGGAGGGCAGGCAGACTCTGCGTCTGTACCCAGGCCTCCATCAGGTTCCCTCAGGGAGCTTCTTACTGGGGTCTTAGCCCCGGCGCGTCCACACCACTGGGAGACCAGCGCCTGTGCACAGAGCCCAGGCCACAGTATCAGGTGCTCCCCGGGTTTCCAGGCCACACACCACTGGAAATGGCTCCTGCCACCTTCCAGACTCCTGCTACCAGCCGGGACCAAGAACTCTGTGCGGCCGGGGGTCACCCTGCCTGCCGCCCCGACCCCACACACAGAGTGTTTCCAGCCTCATTCTCCCACACTTCTCAGCTTCCCAAGCAGCCTGGAGAACTTAAGAAGTAGTCAGGAATTCCCAGGAAATGCAGCTGGTCCTGGGGATCTCTGAGAGGTGCTCCGTGTGTGGGACCCAGGAAATGTAAGGCCAGGAGAGCCAGGGAGACCAGTCCTGCGCCGGGCTCCCGCAGTCCGCGCGCTCAGGCAGTGAACCCTACCAGGTGCTTCATCTCCTAGAGACGGGGACTCCCGAGCATCACGTGTCCTTCCCATGAGATGACTGGCCAACGGGCAAGGGCGGCTTCCTGAGGGCCTCAGCCAGCAGCCGGGAGGGGCCGTTTCTGGAATCCAAGCTGGGTCACCTGTTACTCCCCAGGGTACCGAGGACTTGGCAGGTCACAGGGTGACTGGCGGGAGCGCAGCCAAGAGAACATGTGCTGATTCTGGGAATCAGTCTGGACCCCAACACGCCCCACAGAACCCAGGGATGGGGGCGGGGAGCAGGCTCTGTCCCTGACCCCATGCCTGGCCCTCCTGGCCCACAGGCAGCTTCTCTGGCCCGGAGTGGCTGGCTGGGCCCCCCCTCCCCAGCCCCAAGGTGGAGCTCCAGAGGGCCCCCCTGCACACACAGGCGAGGGAGGGGAGGTGGGCGGGGCCTCCAGCGGCCTCAGTTGCTGGAACCAAAGCCAGAAACTATCCGCCTTTCCTTCTGCGTCTGCCTGTCTTATTCCTCTTTACGCCTCTGTCACTGTGTCTCTCAGGCTCCTTTGTGTTTAAACCCTGTCATTTTTTCTGCTCTTCTCAGGAGGGTCCCTGTTTCTGATTAATCCTGGGAAGTTCAGAGACAGTCAATAAATCTTTTCATTCCAGAGAGTGGAGACTTACTGAGTTGAAAATAACATCTAATAACCCTTTTATCCTATGCGGAGGCATAGACGTGGATGTAAATGACCAATAAAGCAGCCTGACTGAAAGTCCCTTTATGCTCTGTTCCTCCAGCTCCCGGGACCCCCAGCTTTTTGGCGTTCTCAGAAATAACCTCTACCACGCTTAACGTCTCATGGGGTGAACCGGCAGCAGCCAACGGCGTCCTACAGGGCTACCGAGTGGTCTACGAGCCCTTAGCACCAGTCCAAGGTGAGGCCTGAGGGGAGCGCGGGGACAGCTGTCCTCACTGGGGCACACACGCCACTTCCTAGTCTGACAGTGGGCAGCCTTGACCTCAAGAGGCCTGTGAGCCATGGCGGGGCCGGGACCAGAAGCCCCGCACTCTGGGTTCCAGCACAGCCCTCTCCCGACTGACTTACGATGAGACAACTTTGACCTTCACCCCTTGACCCAAGTTCTCCTGTTACTATTGCGTCCCCAGGGCACCACTTGTTAGGACCACAGGGAGCACAGAGGCCCATCAGCCTCCATGGGCATCCTAGGAGGAGCGCTGAGCCCCTCAGAGGTGTCTCTGCTAACACCCTTCACGCGTTCATTTCCTCGAGTCTTTATTAAGCACCTGCTGCATGCCAAGTACTGTTCTAGATGCGGGAACGCACAGAGCCGGGGAAGCAGGGGTCCTCACCCAACTGTTTATCAAGATCCTTCCTTCCCTGAGTCCATGAGTCTGTATTCCAGTGAGGAGAGAAGCAACACACCTGCAAACGGTCCGCGATGCGAGGGTGACCAGTGTTGGGAGGACCCAGGCGCCCCGAGCTCCCAGCCCCAGGCGAAGGCCTTCCCGGGGAAGCTCCACTGCACATGGGCCACTCGGGCTGGGGCCCGGGGTCCTGAGGCCAAGCCTGAGGATTGGGGAGGAGGTCACGTGAGAGCAGCGGGACCGGTCACCAGGGCGTGTCACCAGGGCCGTGTCACCAGGGCCGAAGCGCAGGGCCCAAGAGGGTCTGGCCCACACACACCAGGCCCCCCTCTGGCTACAACCACAGTCTCAACGCCGTGGAATGAAAAGATTTATTGATCAGCCTCACACTTCCAGGGATCAATCAGCAGAAGCACAGACCCTCTAAGGAGAGCAGAGGAAACACTTGCACACAGAGGAGCCTGAGAGACCCAATGACAAAGGCATAAAGGTGAATTTGAGATGGAAAGAGAAGATACAGAAGCTTCTGGGGAGAAGGGGTCGTGGCCCAGCACAGAGGCTCGGGCCTGGGAAGACCAGCGACGCTGCAGCACCTGGCAAGGGGCTTGGAACTGGGGGTCTGGGGGTGAGGAGTGGGGGAGGGGGATGCGTGCGTTTGCGGTGGCGACTGCCCACCACCTAGCGAGGGAAGTGAAGGGAATAGCCATGGGCTCAGTCATTCAGGGGCACAGCCGTGTCCTTGCTGTTTTACTCTCTGGCACTGCCGTAATCTCTCGCATACCCGTCACTCCTCCCCACTAACGGCTGACGTGCTCTCAGAGAGCCCCACAGACTTTGTTCCTCGTCTGCTGTGTGCCCAGCACCAGGCCAGAAAAGGGAGACCAGCCCAGGGTAGGCTGCCCCTGTAAGACATACCACCAGACTGTAACCATTACAGATTATTTAATGTCTAGGAGGAAAAAATACAACCAACACATCAAATAATATTGGCACTCCATTTAAAGCCCTGATAAAAGTTTCCTTTTAAAATAAGTACATTCAAGTAAAACAGGGGGTTGATTTGAAGAAAATTTAAGCACGAGATTTTATGTCATCGAATCTAAAACGCCATTATTGACTATAAGATTCATTGTTATTTTATGAAGTGCTAGGAAAGAAGAAATGCTTGCAGTAAACAGCGGCCCGGTACGTTTGCATCATCAATCCCAAATCAGAGACGCAAAAACATGCAGCGAGAGTCTCACATGGTTGATGCACTTTGCTGAATAATCATAGAGGCCGGGCAGGCATGTGGCTCGGGAATGGCAGAGGGCACAGCCCTGGCCCCGCGGGGGCTCAGTCACACCTGCTGTGTGCCTTTCAGACCCCGGTGCCTGTCTGGGGACCAGGTGGCCGGGGCGTGGCAGGGGTCAGGGTCCCAGTGGCACAAATCAGAAGGAGCCAGGCATCTATGCGTGCTCATAGTGCCTGCACAAAGGGCAGAGAGCCGCTGGACACCGTCCATCCTGTTGCCCAGTACTGTGTACACATATGCCCAGGTGTGTACACACATGCACACACACTCACGGCATGAGACCAAGCTGCAGACACTGTACACTAGTGCCACACAAAGGAGAAAGGATCACCAAGATTCACGACCTCCTCACCAAAACATTGAGTCTGCCTGTGCTCCCTCAGATAAGTGGCTTTTCCAAATCAGGGCAGTAATGGGTTTGCAGAATTTCTAGAAACTCCGTGGCAGGCACCCCTGGACCTGGCACCCAGGATGGCTCCCCGAGTCTTGTAAAAAAGTACTTGCTGTCCAAGCAAGACTACGGCCATTGTCCCCGCCGGGTCGCGAACCACGGCAGGCCCTGCTTTTCTGTCCCCCGAGTTCCGCCGTCCCGATGTCCCAGAGTCCCGCTGGCTCTCCATGTGCCTGAACCCACGGCCTCGCCTCACCTTCCAGGGAGAAGATCCTGCATGTGGTTTCCCTGGTGTGGTCAGGGTTGTGGTCCAGCAACCACGGCAACACGGCATCACTCACATGACGCAGCTAGACACTCCGGTCCCTCGTGCGCGGCTGACCCGTGGCTTCTCGGTGCTCCCTGTAAACACGGCCCCACGTGCATGCCCATGATCGTAGGTGCAATGGCGCAGCTCGCCCTACAGACCGGGCCTGTGTGAAACACCTGCACGCACTGGTCTGCGTCCTCCCACGGCTGCAGGGTGCAGCGGCCGCTTTTACTCACATCTCCCTAGAACTCAGGTTTCGAGCCCTTGAGATGGCCGCCCGGGGCTACAGGGGGGTATTGCGGACACGCGTGGGGTTTGAACTGGGGCAGGCTGGTTCGAGAGCCACCATGATGGGGAAACGTCTGGAACGCCTGCACTTCTGCAAGTAAACATGCGTGAAGGCTGCAGAGAGGAGCGTGCCGAGTGGTCATCAAAGCGTTTCCCAGCCACCTGTGGCGCTTGCCCTTCTCCCTCGAGTGACAACACGTGGAGTCACTTGGAAGCACCATTTCGCCTCTTCCCACAAGTAATAAGACTGTGGGTCCCCGGCATCGTCTCTTCCGTGTCAGGAGGGCTGGTTCTGCCCACCTGGATCTTCCTGGCCTCGGGCAGTGAGCGTGATCCGCTCTGAAGTCCGGGCAGGAGGAGAGCTTGGCAGCTCACGCATTTCTCCAGAATCTCGGGGCTCACAGCTTCCTCGGGTCCCCGGGGCGCTCGAGAGCAAACCGTCCAGACTCCCAAACTTGGACCACATCGGTGGCTCGGGCACATCCCAGACTCCATGATTCCTGCTCCACCGCGTGGCTGGCCCAGGCCTGGGGCTGGTGAAGGGAAACACCGAAGCTGCCGCTGGGCTCCAGGCTTTCCACGAGTCAGAGCGCCCTCCATTTCAACTGCAGACCCCATCCTGAAACAGCAGTGACCCCTGCTCCAGCCGGGGGTGAGGCCAGCCACGGGCCACACCCCCCCGTCCTCCCCCCATCCTCCAGCTTCCCTGGCCACCAGCCAACGGGCTCTTCCCGAAGAGCAGAGCTCACCACCCCTGTGCTGCCCTGGTTGACCCTGTGACCTTCTGGGGTACCCCTGCTCCTCACTAACATCGGTGTCACTGTGAGCCCGCCTGGTCGGACGGCATCTGCCAGAATCCCTGGCTTGGCCAGACCACGGCCACCAGTCCTGGCAGAGAATACCGGCCAGGAAAGGGCAGAGCCTCGCCCGTGACCTCTCTCTAGCCTTAGGCCCTTTGGGGCATTTTGACCTGGGGCTGGCGAGGGGCAAGAGGAACTTCAGTTGCACATGGGATAGTGTGTGTTGTTATGTAGTAGAAAAGGACCAGATGCTCAGGGATGAGGCCAGAGGGGCTGCACGGAAGGCAGTGATGACGATCACACAGCTCGGTGTCCTATGCCTTGCTGAGGTCAGACTGCCCTGCATCTCTGGCAGGCTCGTCCAGCCCTCACTGTCCCACTTCCATACCCAGCTCCGTCTCTCCCGGGGGCAGGCGGGAGTGGGGGGCTCCTCTTGTGGCTCCAGGAAGTCTTCATTGGGTCCCCTCCCCTAGGACAACAGCTGGCCAAACTGCTCAGTGTGCGGGGCCCTAGAGTGGGGGTCTCCTGGAGAAACCCAACCCCTGTTGCCCTCACGTTGGATCCAGATTTCCAACAGGGAATCATGAAAGTAGCAGGTGGGTCTCTGAACAATTTCTGGTTCTTCCCGATGCCCCAGAGATGGAGTGGCCAATGTAATGAAAACCTCAGGCATCTTTCCTGGAGGGCTAGAGTCCCATGAATTCTGCGGGAATGCCGGCCCTCTTGCGAAGATCACAGAAGACATGACGTGTGAGTTTATACACGTCTGTGCCATCAAGAATGGGGGAGGCTGTGAAATGGTGGTGTTGAGTAGTGGTGGTTCTACCGACTGCTTTTTCTGCCTCCTGGCCCAGCCGCCGGGTGGTGCCTGGGATTTGTGCAGGCAAACTCACCAGCCCGGGCCAAGGCGGCAGAAAGCCCAACAGCCTACCCCTGCCCGTGGGCCCTGGGGGTCACTCCATCGAGAAGACGGGCCCGTCTCATCCCGCCTCCCCAGGGCCAGTCCCCTGGTCACGGTGGGGAGCACCAAGCCACGCAGAGCCTGAGCCATGTTCTTGGGGAACGGATTTTATGGCAGAGCTACTTTTATGGGTTTTTTTAAATGTTTTAAACGGTAGTATTTTATGTGATTGCACCCCAGGGCTTTGTAGTGCAGAGCACGGTTTAAAAATTGACTAAATAAATAAGATTCTGACATCGTTGAAATGCAGGGGAGGTCGGACCAGCTCTACCTCCTAGTGGGATGGAATTCACAAAATCTGCACATGGCTTTGTTTCTGCTCTGGGGAAAAGGAAGGCGTTTGTTAATTAAAAAGGGGGGGGTGCTATGCAGAATAACTTTATATCCAAGAAGATCCCACCCATTTACAATGATGGTCATTGTGTGTGCAAACTGTCATCCCGAAACCCCTTTCTTGAGCCATGTAAGGTGAGGAGGGCAGCCTCTCAGGGCAGAAATGACCCAGAAACCTCAGATTCAGAGGTCACTCAAACACAGTAAAAATCCTTCTGAAATAGTCTGGAAGAGACTCATTTAGCTGAATCAATGTTCTGTACAAGGCATGGTGTGAAAACAGTGAACCAGCCAGAAGGTACTGGGACAACTGTAGGACAAGAGACATTGGCTTTGACGACTTTGAAGGGTGAACCCGTTTTGTAGTAAAGAGCACACTTTGTGGGGCTCTTCTGAGTTCAAGGCTACAAAAGGATGAAGGGTGGGGATAGCACCAGCCATCCACACAGAGGGCAGGCCCGGCCACAGCCACCCTGGACGGTCTGTTTGCTCTCCTGGCCAGCTCTGCTGGCTAATGTCAGAGCAGGGCACCCTTTCCTCCTCCCCCAGGGACACCCCATAGACACACATGGGGTGAAAGTTCTCAGAAATCCTGACCTTGGAGCTTACGAGACTTTTTTTGAACACGTCATCTTCAAACTTATTTAACCAGGGAGCCCCATGTCTGTCCAGGAAAACGCTGCAATCATATAATTTTCACTATGTGTCTTCCTCCCCAAATGTTAAATCTTGATTTTCTCATTACACAGAATACAGCCAACAACACGTTCACTTCATTTATGTCCGCGACCTGTTGTCTATCTGTCCTCCTAGTTCAAATCAGGGCTTCGATATTTGGTGTGATAGTCTTTCTTCATCCTTGCTTCCAAGCCCAAGGACCAAGTTCTCACTTGTGGCTGGGGGGCCTTTAGGCCACAGGTTGGCCAAACCAGTCCAGCTGGAGACTGCTTTTAGGGGAAGCCCATCTTCTTTTTTGCTCTCTTCTCCGGAGTTGGGAAGCTCCGGGTCACCAACACAAGCGACACAGAGCCTGTGTGGCTCAGAGTCCGTGGGGAGGGGAACCTGACCCCGGCACGGGAGGACGGCGGGGGAGTCTCCCCGGCATGAGGTGGGACTTGTGGGCCCCCTCCCTGCGTCACCCCATGAGGCTAGCTCTTCCCTTTGCTAGCACCACTTATCAGACTTGAACACTAATTACACTTATCTGTGCTGAAAATTGGCCATTACCACCACTAAACTCCTCCTAATTGTAAGAAATCCTTCCTTTGCAAGTTGGGGCCACCGTCACTGTTGTCACGGCAACATGGGTGGTACTCCTGGCGCTTCTGACCCCAGACCCCTCCTGGCCTTTGCTCTCTCTCGGTGGTTGCAGGGGTGAGCAAGGTGGTGACAGTGGACGTGAAGGGGAACTGGCGCCGCTGGCTGAAGGTGCGTGATCTCACCAAGGGAGTCACCTACTTCTTCCGCGTGCAGGCACGGACCATCGCCTACGGGCCCGAGCTGCAAGCCAATGTCACGGCCGGGCCAGCGGAGGGTAAGTGGAGCTCCGCCCAGGGCCCCGCGTCCACTACCGTGCCAGATGGGCCCGTCCTCGCAGCAGCCCAGGCGGTGGTGGCCCACCCAGAGCGGCAGAAACACAGAGGTCTTTCGGCAGAAGGGTTATCTTCCAAAGCTCGTGCCAGCACCAACCTCTCTAGATGGACTTGTTAAACAGAGATGAGCAAATTCCTAGGTCTTAAACACGTAATGTTTGGGGCTGTTTTCTGGAAAGCCTTGGAAGGAACAAGTGAATTTTTTAAAGGTTTATTTATTTACTTTTGTTGGAGGCAGAGGGAGAGGGAGAAACCCAAGCAGACTCCCCACTGAGCGTGGAGCCCGACTCAGGCCTCGACCTCATGACCCTGAGATCATGACCTGAGCCAAAAGCAAAAGCCCAGCCAGCTGTGCCACCAGGCACCCCCCAAATTAGTGAATTTTGGAAATGAGATATACAAAAGAGGTGTGAAGTGCTCACATCGTGCGAAGAAGCCCCAGAGCTTCCCACTGAAACGATTTTGGCCTTTGCTTGCATTCTTAGCAAGGCGAGGGTGACAGGATCTAGGTTCACGGCAGGCCCACCGCATGCCAGGCGCAGTCCTGGGCCTGTTGCATGGCTTGTCTCTGTTCACATCTGGCCCACCACTGGCCTCATGTGAGGCCACTGTAGCCTTCCCACATCTGGGCTGAGCAGAGTGTGACCAGGCAAGGCTAAGCCATCTGCCTGGAGAAGTAGACAGAGCCTGGACAGGGCAGGCCCCATGTGGGGGATGAGGAGCCCCCCGAGTGCCAATCTCCACCCTCCCCTGTCTCTTTTACCCCACAGGCTCCCCAGGGTCCCCCAGAGATGTCTTGGTCACCAAGTCAGCCTCCGAACTGACCCTGCAGTGGACCGAGGGGAACGCAGGCAGGACGCCCACCACTGGCTACGTCATCGAGGCCAGGCCCTCAGGTAAGGGGTGGGGCCGGGACACCTGTCAAGCTGGGAGCCTGAGAGTCCGAGCCCTCAGCTTCCTTGCAGCCTTTCCCTAACAACACGGACATGAGGGGAACTCGACGAAACGCTAGTCACATCTTTCCCTCTGCTCCGCCACCTCACGGGCATGAGAGTCTCCGTGTTTTGCCACAGCGCGCGTCCCTAGAGGCGTGGTCATTGTCATCCTCAGAAACACGTACATACAAACTTAGGGACACTTGCACACGCTTCCTGCTCGTGGTGAGATCCAAGAGTGTTTCCAGGGGCTCATCTCAGGCTCTGCATCTTTGCACCCAGTTGAGCCCCACTCCTTTCTGATCACAGTGAAGCCCACCCGTCACATGCCCCATCTTTAGGCTCCTGAAAATGAGGTCTAAGGTCTATTCCCTGCCCTGTCCGCCCTAAGGGTTTTCGCTCCCTCCCAGTCAGCGGTAATAACAAAGCACGGACATTATCGGAAAATCCGTCTCTGCTGCGCTGAGCCAGTCATTAGTCCTTGGAGCTAGGGGGTGTCACCAAACACAGAGAACACAGAGCATGTCCACCGTGACCTTCAGAGGGCGGCACAGTTAATCGTATCTGAGCTTGAAAACCCATGGTGCGCCTGGGCTGCCAGCAGAAAGCTCACCGCCCGATCCCGCCCACGGTGCTGGGCATCGCTGTAGTCGGATGGTTCAAGAAGCCATTGGACTGAGAGGGAAGGTCTGCGGGGTCACATTTGTCCCTGTGTCAGACTGCCCGCCAAACTGCTTCTGGGAGATGACTAGTCACAACCCCGTCCCAGAAAGTCCTAAGTAGAAAATCTGGTGCCTGAGACCAAAACAGCATCCTTTAAGGGCGATATGAAAAATTCTTTGGCTCAAGCACTTGCATGTTCAGCACGTCCACCCAAGGGGTCCTGGGAGCTTGTGTTGAACAAGGCACTTGGTCTGTCCTGGAAGCAGGGGTCCCGAATCGGTGACGGGCCTTCTGCGTCCACTGGGCCCCCACCAGCCTGTCGCTCTGAAAGTAGGCAGCCCCGAGAGCAGACAGCAGGTGCTCCGCTGAGGACATAGGATTCCCAAGCACTTTCTGAGACTTCAAGACCTTCAAACACGGGCCCGGTGAGGTCTGGGCCCAGCCGAGGGCCATGGGGGCTGCACCTACCCCAAGGAAGCAACTCGATGCTTTTCTCCCCGAGTCTGGGGAGAGCATTCATTGCGAAGGTAGTTTTGTGAGTTTTCAGGCCCAGCAAGGGGCTCCTGAGAATTCCTGAGATCCGTGGACATCACTGACCCCTAACTGAAACCCAGCTTGTCCTTGCCTCGTGAGCACAGGCGCGTTCACTGACTCCGGCTGCCGGAGCCCCGGGGCCCACACTGGGCTGCTTCCCCCACGTGCAGGTCCTGCCTCCGTCTGGAGCCTGGGCGGGCAAGGGCAGGGCATGGCGGGGGAAGGGGATCCTCTGAGGCCATGAGAGAGTGTCTCTTCCATCCTGTCTCCCGGCTTCAGGTGGTTTGCTCTCAGTCTAGGTCATTCTTTGCCTCATGGAGGCCTCACCCCCATCCCTGCTTTCTCCCTGTGTGCCCTTCTATCCCCGTGCCCGGCTGTCTCCTTTTTATGAGAACACTGGTCATACTGGGTTAGGCACTCCCTCAAGACCTCGTCTTGACTAATTATATCTGCAAAGACCCTATTTCTGAATAAGGTCACATGCTGGGACATTGGGGATCAGACCTTGAGCGCGTGAATTTTGGGGGGACACCATCCAACCCCCCCACAGTAGGTAAGAAACCGCAGACGTAGCTGAAGAGCCTGCGGAATTGGCAGCAACAGAAGTCACGCCGCTTCCCATCCCATCCCGGCCTCGCGGGCGCCTCGCAGCATGGCTTCCCTCGTCATCTGAACACTGTCCGGGCCTCATCACCCAGCGTGACCCTGGTATCACGGTGCCCCCCCCAAAATCCAGGCCTTTGCACCCGCCTTCCAGAGAACCACGTAGCCCAACACGTCACCCAACGAAAACCCCCCGTGACCCACATGGTCCGCAGTCTGGGGAGACGATGCTGCTGGGAACCTTCGGTCACCTCTAGGTACTTACAAGTATTAACAGCATAACTGGCTTCCCTTCATGTTTTATGCAACTAAAGCCATTCCGAGAAGGTGTCCCTTCAGAGTCAACAGGCTGCCAATGGGATCTCTGGCCCGAGAAAAGGTGAGAGGCCTCGTTCTAGAGGACACACATGCACAGCGGACCCCTGCCAACTCCCCTCCTTCTGCCAAGGGCTTGCTCCCTGACTAGAATGTTAGGACCTTCACCCCCCCACCCTGCGCCGATACAGTAGCTGTGAGAGGACCACAGTGGGGTCCCTGGGGTGACGGGAATGCTCCGTGTCTGGGCTGTGTCAGCAAGACGATCCGGTTGGCGGACACCAGAGAGAGAACACATGGTTTCTCTTTGCGTGATTTCCCGTAACTGCGTGCGGTTCTGTTTACAATTACCTCAAAATGAAAAGCTCAGCTTAAGATTTTAAAAATACATATATATATTATATACACACAATAACCCCACGATGGTGTCCTAAGGAGTCAAGGGCAACAGCACATCTTTGGAAAGGGCGTCTCCGGGTCAGAGGTCAGCATGGGGAATGGACCACGTCAGCAGCCAGACACGGCTTCATGGGCTCAGAATCCTAGCAGAGGAGAGCATATTCTGGCATTTTCTGAGCAAAGGGGAGGTTTTGATTCTCAGGCTTCTCATGGGGTTAGCATAACTTCCATCCACCCTAAAGAAGGAAGCAGGTGGCCTGTTGGAAGAAGCACAGCTTTGGGCAGTCTGGACTGTGGTGTGAAGAGCCAACCAGGACGCGGGGCTAGGTCTCGCACTGAGCCTCGCTCCCCGAGGGCCTTGGCCGGGTGGATGCCTCCAGAGATGGGCAGGACCCTGAGCTCCGTCAGTTGGTGCCGCGATGAGGAAACCGGCCCCCGGGGACCAAGATGCAAAAGGAGGCTGACCTGTGAGATGCCGTCTTGTTCCATGAGCGCTGAAGATTTCGCTTCTGCTCTCTTCTGCCCCCAATTTCCCCTTTCGTACCGTGGACCGAACCAGAGTGGCCGCGGGGTTCGCCGTCTCCCCACGGAGGGGTGCATCCTCCCTCCCGTGACAGAGGCCAGCAGCAACTCAGAGGCAAATGAAATGCTTTTATGGATTGTCAATATTTAAACACCTTGCTCGTGCCTTAGGGCTTTGGATCTCAGCTGGCATCTATTACAGGCCTCATTACACAAAACATTAAACGCTCTATCTTATTTTCTCCACCGAAGCTCTCTGGCAAGACTTTCTCCAGGCAGGGGAGTGGTTTCCGAGGGGAGTGGGGATCTGGGAGATGGGCCCAGGTTGTCATGAGGAGGTCTTATTTTTGATGGAGTCCACCTGGCCCCCGCGGGTCCCTGCCACCAAGTGTCTGGGGAGCCGGAGCCACTTGTCTGCCAGGTCTTCCATCTCCCCGCCCAGGCAAGTCTCCACCTTGCACCAGGGAGGCAGGCAGCTCGTCAGCTTAGTGGCTGGTGCCACAAGGCGCCCAGCGGGCTGGTGCAGGTGGGGGCAGATGGGGACAGGTGGCAACACAGCCTTTTCCTTTCCTGCACTGTCATGGTAACCCCTGCAAATTCTGTGGGGTCGCCCCACTGCCCACCTGACAGCAGCTAGGAGATTAGTGTCTTGGACCAGAAAGTGGACTCTCTCCTTCCCAGGAAGGACGGTCAGTGAGCACACAGAGCCAAGGACAGCCTTGCGAAAGAGGCACGTCTCAGGTTGTGCTACGTTTCCTCTGAGTCAGTGTCGCAAAGTTCCCTGGAAGGCCATAGAAGCTGTGCAGTGGGCTTATGCAGATGATTTATTTACACAAATTATCCCAAGGCATTTTATTGTGTAGCTCACGAAACCAAATTTACATATTTACACAATAGACTGGAATGGCACTAAAGGAACTATAAATATATTTTCCTCTCCGAAGCAGCCGTGAAATTCATGTTTAGGACGGACCCGGCGCAGGCAGCGTTTTTCACAAACAGTGTGGTTAGCCCGGAGCGGAGAGCTGGCCCGCCAGAGGACAGGCCCCTGGTCCCAGGCCCTGATCGCACCCCCACCGCCCCCCACACATCTGTCTGCATCTCCCTGCTCATTTTGTTCCTGTTCCATCTTTGGCGCTGGGACTTTTTGGTTGAACAAAGAAGAAAATCAGCCTTATTCCAAAGGTTTAAAACCGATGGAAATCCCCAAGTCAGCAAATGCGGCAAGCGGGTGGCAAGCGGGTGGCAGGCAGGCGGCTGCCACTGATCCAACCTCCCCAGCCTGGCACTTCCTCCTGTCCTTACACCTGCCCGGTGCCCACCTCCTTCTGGGCATAGGTACCCTTTGCTTCTAGACCTTCATCTCATTTTATCTCCTGCCTTAAACCAGATCAGATAAAAAGTGATTTTTTTTTCTTTTTTTTCTCAAAGGTATTTAGCCTCGTGTTTGAACCCCACTGCTTCAGTTAGATTTCGAATGGAGACTGACCACTGACACAGAGAGAAAAGGCAGTGTTTAAGAAATAAATAGCTCACAGGCCTCCCTTTGCTCGGGGCTGCGGGCTGACAGTCACGTTGCTGGTTGCGTGAGTTAGTGGAACCAGAAATCTGGGGCCCGTGAGTGACAGTTTCATTCAGCATGGAGACCCTGTTTAATTGTCCATGAAATCAAACTTTTGTGGGGGCCTGGCGTCTGTCTGAGTGCCAGCAGCACACAGCTCGGTTGCGGGCGTTGGAGGGATAAATTGAGTGGCCCACCGATGTGCCTGAGCTGGGCTCCATCTCAATTGAGAAGAGAGGTGTCCATGTTTCCAGGTTTATTAGGACATTATCTGGGAGCAGATGTGCGGAGGGGAGGCGGGGGCCACAGGATGAGAAGGGACACATTCTGTCGGCTGTAGGCAGGTCGGCTCCGAGGCGGCCAA